ATAATGAATATCACTGGTGTCCTTTATTTTAAATACTATTTTTCCCACGCGACGAAGATTACTGTGTTGTTACGTGTCCCTGGGCCAGAGAGGAGAGATTAGGCGCTCTTACGCGCACGTGCCTTCTGTGGGTGATTGTAACCGAAAAGTGCCATTATATATGGCGCTCTCTCTCTCTCTCTCTCTCTCTCTCTCTCTCTCTATATATATATATATATATATATATATATATATATATATATATATATATATATATATATACATATTTCTCCTCTTTATCAAGCTATATACCTTTTCATCTATCATTACTGTATTCGAAAAGTGTCATAATTTGGCTTTCTCTCTATCTATCTTTTTCCTCTTTATCAAGCTATATACCTTATAATCTTTCATTATTGTATTCGAGAGGTAACTTAATATTCGGCTCTCTCTCTCTCTCTCTCTCTTTATCTCAATAATTATTGTACTCGATAATTGTCATAATATGGCTCTCTCTCTATCTTTCTCCTCTTAATCAAGCTATATACCTTTTAATCTATCATTATTGTTTTCGAAAAGTGTCATAATATGGCTCTCTCACTCACTCTCTATCTATCTATCTTTCTCCTCTTAATCAAGCTATATACCTTTTAATCTATCATTAGTGTTTTCGAAAAGTGTCATAATATGACTCTCTCTCTCTCTCTCTCTCTCTCTCTCTCTCTCTCTCTCTCTCTCTCTCTCTCTATATATATATATATATATATATATATATATATATATATATATATATATATATATATATATATATATTCTTCCTCTTGATCAAACTATATACCTCTTAATCTATCATTATTGTATTCAAGAAGTGTCATATGGGGCTCGCTCTCTCTTTCTCTCTATAATGATTGTATTCGAAAAGTGTCATAATATGGTTCTCTCTCTCTCTCTCTCTCTCTCTCTCTCTCTCTCTCTCTGCCTTTTTTCACGTGGCTGAACACTCTACCACCTGTTCTTCCATAGCCAGACAGGAACACTCATAAAAACAAGTGATATTTTTTTACTCATATCGAAGCTAGACCTCTAATGGTACTGTTCTGCCACTGACCCCATACAATACGATTCATGGCGTAATCATGAACTCTGACGAGTTCTTAATTACGCTATGGAAGCCACTACTCTCCATTGAATTAGTACCCGATTGCTGATTCCCAAAATGTCGATTCCCATTTAGTATCAATCTGCCGATTCCCAAATAGCCAACTCGTATGCTAGTCAATGTATCTAACGACCACCTAACTTAACTTAACCTAACCTAACGTATATCAATCCTTGCAATCACCAGTATATACTATACTAATAATATATTTATATTATAAAGTGTCAGCATTATGGGAATCAGGAATCTGGGAATCGGCAAACTGGGAATCATCAAACTGGAATGCTACCTCTCAACTACTTATATCTCAATGGCCCTGACGAAGTGAAAAGTCATAATAATCAACGTATAGCCTGCTGGCTAGTACAGTGGTAACGCGTTGGCTTCGCAATCACAAGGTCGAAAGATCGGTTCCCGTCCAAGACCGAGAGTTTAAGCTGTTTCCTGGCAGGTACTGCTGTGGTTGGTCACCACAGTGGGGGGTTGGGGCTTGCCCCGGCTGACGAATACCCATTGTATTGTAATGGAAATAAAGGTTTATTATTATTATTATTATCATTATTTATTATTATTATTATTATCACTTAACCTCCTGCTTCAGGAGTCCAGAGCTACATCTACTAAGCCTGAGAGAGTCATGCTCCATGCAGGGACAAACAAGCCCATAGTATGACTGGAGCAGCTGCTCAGCAGAGAGAAAATATGAGGTTAATTTACAAACGCGATTCGATCCCACAGCGGGGCGTTAGGAAGGGTATCCAGCCTTAATTCCCCAGCTGAAACCTGTTTAATTTCTAGAAGTATGCATAGATATAAATAGGCTTCCAATAAATAGTACATTTTATCTGTGATCATAAATATACAGTCAAATAAATAAATATATTTATTTGTAATTAGAAAAAGATATAGATGGACAGATAGACAGACAGATAGATAAACAGATACAATTATATTAAGATTAGAATGAGCTTAAAATTGGTTAGTTTCTCTGATGATACTTAGTCAAATGTGTACATACAATAAATTGAGATACGTGTATATAAATACATATACATACATAGAGTACGTACATAGAGTAAATAAATATATATGTACATAAATAAACAAAGAAACTGCTTACATATACAAATAATAAAAAAATTATTTGTATATGGAGGACAAAACACAGACATGTGAACAATAAATATATATTTATTTTAAATTAATAGTTACTTAAATAAGAATACCTTTACTATAAAAATAAATAGATCAATAAATAAATAAATAAATAACTAAATAATGTAAAGAAAATAAAAGGATATTAATTCCTATCCTATATATTCTCTTAAGGTAATACTTAGGGTTTTTCCCTCCTTGGGGTTTTATACAAGGTATTTCCAGAAGGTTATCTTCGGTAAATATCTTGTGAGGTCAATCATGTTTACGGGGGTATTTTAGTTACCTATAGAATCCTAATAAGGTGTTTCATGGAGTTATTTCAACATTAATAATTACAAGGTATTTGTAGGGGTTTAGTTTCATTAACCAAGACTTTTTAAGAGGTTCATCTTCACGTGTACATGCGATTATAAGGTTTTCATGATTAATTTAACATTAATAAAATACAGCGTCAGGTTAATCGCCTTTATAAGGTATTTTCAGAGGTTTATCTATATTAAAGAGGGTGTTTTTCAAGATTATATATCTCTAAAAGGTATTTTCTTTGGTTATATATCACTGATATATAGTCTTATGGAATTACCATTAATAGAATGCTTTGTGAAGTTCTTTAAAGGAAAAAGTTTTTTTTCTAGATTATTTTTTATAAGATTATTTTTACAAGGTATATCCATTGGGTATATAACAATAACATCGCATTTTATAGACACTGGAAAAAAAAATGTTTGGTGAGGTTCATCATTACAAGGTTTATTCCGGGGTTTATCTATATAAAGCAAGACGTTTTGTGAGACTTATCATCATTACAAGGTATATTCCGGGGTTTATCTATATAAAGCAAGAAGTTTTGTGAGGTTTATCATCAATACAACGCTTATTCGGGGTTTATCTATATGAAACAAGATGTTTTGTAAGACTTTTCATCATTACAAGGTTTATTCGGCTTATATCTATATTACAAGATGTTTTGTGAGACTTTTCATCATTACAAGGCTTATTCGGGGTATATCTATATTACAAGATGTTTTGTGAGGTTCATCATCATTACAACGCTTATTCCGGGGTCTATCTATATAAAGCAAGAGGTTTTGTGAGGTTTATCATCATTACAAAGCATATTCGAGGTTTATCTATATTAAACAAGATGTTTTGTGAGGTTCATCATCATTACAAGGCAAATTCGGGGTTTATCTATATTAAACAAGATGTTTTGTGAGGTTTATCATCATTACAAGGTATATTCTGGGGTTTATCTATATAAAGATGGATGTTTAGAGGTTTATCATCATTACAAGGCATATCCGGGGTTTATCTATAAAAAGCAGGATGTCTGGAGAGGTTTATCATCATTACAAGGTATATTCTGGAGTTTATATAAAGTAAGATGTTTTTTTTTGAAGTTTTATCATCATTACAAGGCATACAAGGGGGTTTATCTATATAAACCAAGATGTTTTGTGAGGTTTATCATCATTACAAGGCTTATTCTGGGGTCTATCATTATAAAATATGTTTTGTGAGGTTAACCAACTTTAGAAGGGAATTTCAGAGCTTTATCTATATTCAAAAATTTTCTGAACGAGGTATTTTATGGGGATTAATTACATCAAAGGTTATATTTACGGTTATTCAATCTACACAAAGGCCCAATTTCTTAAACAGTGTAAAGCTAGGATACCAAAATTTTAGTTAGCTAGACACACAAATGAATTTCATAAACGCATCTGATGCGGTTCTGTGTACGGCTAGGATCCCGTACGGGATCCTAGCCATACACAGAACCTCGTCAGATACGTTTATGAAATCCATTTGTGTGTGTCTAGCTAACTAACAATATGGTATCCTAGGTTTACACTGTTTAAGAAATCGGGCCAAAGTATTCTCCTTGGTTATGTAATATTATTAAGCTGTTTTAGGGAGACATTCAATATCAATAATATATTGGTTGATTTCACTGCACAAGGTATTTTCAGGGGCTATCTAAACCAAACAAGGTATTTATTTGATGTCCTTTTTTCTTTTTACAAGGAACCAATATTAATAGACATTTAATGACCACAAGTCTATGAGCTCCCAGTGACAAGAAAACGTGACGTACTCACTTCAGAGAATATTAGTCTAAAGCACATGATGACAGCACACGCCCTCTCTCTCTCTCTCTCTCTCTCTCTCTCTCTCTCTCTCTCTCTCTCTCTCTCTCATAGCTCTATCTATGGGTTCTCTCATACTTCAGTCTTATATCTTACTCTCACATAGCTCAATCTATTGGTTCTCTCTCTCTCTCTCATAGCTATATCTATGGGTTCTCTTATACTTCAGTCTTATATCTTACTCTCACATAGCTCAATCTATCGGCGCTCTCTCTCTCTCTCTCTCTTTACAGTCCAGTCTCCGTCACAAAGCCGAGACTACATTCCCCAAAACCGGCATGCAAGAACTACCTCTATGAAGGGAGGATCTAAACGAGGTAATCCTTCGCCAAAAAATTAAAAAGAACATTATTTTTTTTCTGCTTATTTTTATTTAATCATTGGAAATCCAGAACGAGTGTTACCATGCAGAGCTACAGGACACTATCCAGGCCTATTCTCTAGACCCAACTCAGGATACAATAAAATCCAGAATCGGTACATGATGTCATTCTTAGGTGGCTCTTCTGGGAATGATGCAAAAGGTAGGTGCCTAATCTGGGACTGAGGGTGAG